TCCCATTACTTGTAGTTGATGTGTGTATATTCCTGCGTTTGGATTTACCGAAGTCCTTCGACTGTGCCTCACGCTCCTGCCATCCAAGGCTGTGGAGGACCCGCCGAATGAGCTCAGCTCCGTAGCCCTCACAGAGGCGATCCACTGGTCTCGCAAGTGGCTGATCTGTCAGACTGCACGACTCCTGAAGATCCGAAAAATGCATAAGGCATAAGCCAGTGGTCAGTCTTGTGATAAGTGATTGAACCGAACAGTAAAGCAGGACAGGAAACAACTCTGTGCTGGCATCCTTGAGCAAAGCATCGTTCTAACCCTCTACTTGTTGCAGTCTTTCGATCCTTATGATAAGGCAGGGAGAGCCTGAGAGCCTGGTGGAACCTTCTCATGCACACCAAATAAATATCAAACCAGGAAATGAAAACGACGAGAAACCAGAAGTAACTATATATATATATCATATGTCAAGACTATATATAGTCAATAATTCAGAAGCTTTCGCGGGGCCCTACGTCCCCAGGAACAAGACAAATCCTTTGTGGTCACTCCATGCTACCCAAGTGTCTTGACTGAGAAGGTTGACCTAAAGTACCGTTGGTTTGCAGAACCCAAGTGGGAGCCCTTGCCGTTCGAGAGAAGTAGCCACCTCCACGGCAAAGACTTTCACCGAAGCACAGGGGATCCGAAGACTTCGCCTTGGCAAACGGGGATATTCACAAGACTCCAACCGCCCTGAGTTTGCTCTTGTGAAGTCAGGCTCAAAGTCTGCATTAAAAAAAGATAATCGTGTAGAATAATCATGCATGCTGCAAACCTGTTTAGGATGACTTCTCGGTCACCGCAAAGCTATTGAGAGTCTGGCCTGTTCAGCAAGGTCGGTGGCTCCTGCAACTCATGTTTTAAAAGAAGCTTCCTCGTTTTGCTTCAATTCAGCTATGTTGAAAAGATTTGAAACAGCCTGGAAGCCACGGTATGACTACTGGAGAGAAAGCTGTGGATTTGCTCCGGATCTGCTTCCATGATAGTTCTCGCCTTCTCCAATCCTCCAGTTCTTGTAAGACAGAGGCTGCGGAGCAAACAGCACAAGCGAGATTGTGAAAGATTGACTCGAGGGACATCGGGTTCATTGCCCATGATGAATATTCAAGCTTTCCAGAGTGGTCAAGAACAAGTTCCTTGAACAAGTTTGAACACTTGGCAATTCAGTTTAAACACCTCAAAAGGTCGTCAAAACAGTGGGATACCCCGAACGGCGGCTCCTGCGCCTGGACAGTGGCCTTGGATGGACGCTTTCGCGAAAGACCTCGGCAAGGAGAAGACCGCAGGCAAGGCTGATTCATCAGAGTTCAAACAAAGAAAATAGCTGAGGCAAAAGACAATGCCTTCTTGGGCGGCTTTGTTTCGATCAATATGAGAGGAAATGAAGAGAATCTTTCTAGTGCCAGTTCTACACTGGCATCGCTACTAGGAGCAAGGACGCTACTAGGGGCTCTTGGCATCGCTACTAGGAACAAGGACGCTACTAGGGGCTCCTGGCCGTACTACTAGGAGCAAGGATACGACTCAAAACGACTCGATGGAAAAATGAAGCGCCGAGAGGGAGGGCGCGGATCGACACACGAAGAACCGGCGCAGCGGCGCCAGCGTTGGCTTCGCCGCCATGACAAAACACAGAGAGTGGGTGTTGCCATCAGAAAAGCCTTTGCCATGGGGCAAGATTACTGCCGTGTCTCCGTTCTGCCGAGGATCTTCTTCGAAGTCGCGGGGTGTGCACCTGAGTCTGAGTGAGAAAACCTTGGAAACCAGTCTTGGAGAGAACAATAAGGTACCAAGGGCACCCCTTTTGTGCTACAAACGCAGCACCTCAGCTTGGTCACATCAAGCAGTTGATGTTGCTGATTTCGGACTCACTGCTTTCGTTACTCCCAAATTGGGTTTGCCACCGTATCATCACATTGTTTCATTGAATGCTAGCTTCGACCCTGTCAGCATGGCCTCGACCATGTGTTGGCCTGGAATGATCAAACTTGCACAAATGACCGTCGCTCTCACATAACTGGTTGAATTTACACATCAGTGTCCAGTTCCCTCATTTTGCCCACACTAAAGTTTCAAGGATAAAGCAAAGTCACAACGATTGAGAAAAACTAGGCAATAATAAGCAGCACATGTCTGTCCCAAAGTAGCCATAATGGATGCATTTGCTGAATGTCAAACCAACACTTGTTGAAAATATCTATAAGCAACACTGTGCAGAAATGTCAGCAACTTGTATTTTGCAAGACTGCCCACTTCCCACATTCTAGCATAATGTCTAGTCGAACGTACAAAGATCTCGGGAGTTCTGGCCTCAGTCCAAACGGCTACAGCGAGGCTTGGCGAAAACTACATTGCGATGAATTCTCGTTCGCTGTGACCATTTGCAAATCTTATGGCGTCTTGCTCAATGACTCAAGTGTTCACCCTGGAAACCCTTGTATCAAGTAGGTGGTCAAACAACCTGCTGCTTCTGCTTGCACCTGTTATAGGGATGTAGATTTATACTGCACTTGTCATGACTTGTGATGGTGAGCGTGAGCACTCTCGGGTCTAGACATGAAACTGTCATGCCGCGGAAGCTCTTCCTCCCTCTGGCTCGTCCATGAAGTCATGGCTGGAGCTTGGGCCATATGAAAATAACCGTGAAACATGAAGCTGCAACTGCGAGGCTGTGGCACTGCCTCCAGCTCTTGGGAAAATGTCCAATGAAGCAGCAACAGTTTCAGCAGCTCACTGCCCAACGTGGCCAGCCAGTGAACCAACCTTGCCGTCATAAACATGCAGTGAGCTACTGCTCTCAGAGTTCTCACTGTGAAGGAGCGGTCACATCTTGGCAGAGCAGCTCGGCCTGTGGCCGCGAAGAGATACGAAGCGGCCTGGGTGCCAAGAAAACCCAACAAAGGTTTGAAGGCAGAATCAATCCACAGGGTGACAAATTGTGGGCAGCCATGCGGGAGTTCAACACAGAAACGGTGTTCGGAACCTTGAATCTGCAAAGTGGACTCAGATAACAACCTGAATATGGATCTTTGATTTTTGTTTCGGCTGTTACACAAGCCCAACCAGAACAGCTGGGCGCTGCAGCGCAACTTACCAACCATGCAGCATGCGGTCCTAGTAGCTTCTCGTTTCAGTTCTAATTACAGTATATAAATGTCAGTTAAATTTAGATTAATGTTGCTTCTAATTCTATTGAATTCTTGTTTCTAATAGCTTCTTGTTCCTAGTAGTAAGGCCAGGAGCCCCTAGTAGCTTCTTGTTCCTAGTAGCGATGCCCTTTGCTCCTAGTACCGAACATTGCTCCTACCCCCCCTTGTGATGGGCCCTTCTGCGGTCTTTGGCATTTCGACGGAGACATGTCTCCGTCATGCCCTCTAGAGGGAGGGGCGAAGGAGAGAAGTGCAAAATCACTGCGTTTGCATCAGAGATCCCTCTCCTTGCTAAAGCAAAATCGAAAATACCCCAAGGATCCCCAGAGATGAAGCATGTCGAGGGAGCGGACTATTTACTAGGAGACAACGCCGTGAGCTGCCTTCAAGCAAGAACGCTTTGCCCTGTAATTGATGTGTGTTCTGATGTTTAAAAGGAGAGAAACACCCTGCCTCTCGGCCACAAAAACCACTGTCAATGTTTGTACCACAGTGGACCCTCACCGATTTAGAGCTATATGCTTCCCAGAACTCGCCATCCCAAAACCCAATGATATCTAGTATCCCAGGACCCAGGAGTTATACCCACAGCTGGGCATGACTCCAGTCAGAAGGAACCCAAAAAAGTTCGCTTTGAGACGTGGACAAGGTCATCTGTCGGTGAATCCGTTCGGCCTCCACATCTCAAGGTCCAAGAGGACGACATGGCAGGTGTCAAGGCCATGGCTTTGGTCCATGGATTCAATTTGGTCTAAGAACCCAGACATATCAAGAAAAAGATCCGTGAGAATGAAATGGACTGGGATTGTCTTTCTTGTGCAAAAGAAAACAGGCAGGGTTTGTTGATCGACTTGTGGTTGTGGTTCAGCGTCTTCAGACCGGGCAGTGTTCTGAGGCGCTAGGCTGGTTTCTGATACTAATAGCGATGGCCTCCAACCCACATTTGTTGTCTTCGCTTCTCTCCTGTTGGTTCTTCACATTCTGAGGGTGAAGCAAGTTTAGGCAAAGCTGTATCTAGCAGGCCAACAAGTCCTTCTCACGAAGCAAGAGTTTAACTGTTCTTGCACATGAGACAACAAGATCTGGATCAGACCAAAGTAACTTCTCAAGGAAACGCCAGCCAAAGTACGCACAACATCCCTGGTTTGACTCTGTTACATTCACTTTGCCAACTACTGTACACCTTTCTAAACTGAATAGCAAGGCTTCGAAGGCTTAGTCTCATCTGACCATCTGAGGCATAGGTACCTCCGCTCGCCGCCAGAGGCGTTGGCCCTAGCGTATCAAGGGACTGTCAGCCGGTTATCCAAAATGCCCTGGCCACATGCTTTGTGGAAAATTCTCAGCCTTGTACCAGCCCAGAACCTGTACGCGGCCATTTGACCATCATCAGCCATCAGTTGCTGGAATGTCCGACTAAGGAGACTTGGGTGAGATGTGTTCCTTGCGCTATGATATCCACCTACTGGCCTTGGCTTGAGAGGTCCGCAGGGATGGAACAATGTCTAAGACGTGCTCAGCTGCTTAACAGATTCAAACATCCATTCCTTCTATTCTCCATTTGGGGATCCCCATAGCTGCCATAGCGCCATCAATGCCTGGCCTCCTGTAGCTGGAGCCATAAGTCTTGAAGCTCCGGCACCTTCTCTGGCTCCGGCTCCTGGCGACAGAAGGCTTTCATCCATGGAAACTCTCTTTCTTTCGCACAAGATGGAACACCTTCACATGCACAACAATCAAAAATCGTTTTGACTAACCAATGGCTCAAGCAGAGAGTACCTTCTCAATGACCAATCCCTGCCACTGGCACAAAAATCACAAAGGATGCATGGGATTCACGGGATTGGGCATTGTGTGATCCTGCACCAATGCGCCCACCTTCGCCTCTTCTTCCTCCGCAGGTTTCACGAAGGCCGGGTCTTCGCCCGGAAGAGGCTCCTGACCGAGACGCTGTGAGGAAGTTGTGGCTGCTTTGGAACCGACCATCTTGACGTCAGGAGACAAGTTTGCATCCAGTTCGAAGGAAACTGACTTTATTTTTCCACTGGACTTCTATGAGAGCTATATATTAGAATGCAAAAGTGCTAAAAGGATTGCTAGATACTAAGACTGACGTGATCAAGGAGCATCTCAGCCTCTTTGGCAGATACAGGCGAAGGGTAGGATATGGCCTCTCAAGCAGCAACAGTACCAAATACTGGGCTTAATTCAGTTGAATCGCACAAAAAGGTGCAAGCCTTCGTAACTCCAAACCGGTCTGTTGCCCAGCTTCGGGCTCAGGTGTTGGCGGTTACCATTTGGACAGACTCGTGTTGGACTCGATCAACAGTGACTGTGAGAAAACCTCACCAATCTAACGAGTGAATAGAGAAAAGCACACCAAGAAAGCACAACTGTCAAGCAGCGACTTAACTTGGATTGCAAGAACCACAGGTGCATGCTTGCTGTGGCCCAATCCAATCAAACAATTCAGGGTGCAAACTCTCACCTCTCTCCAATCCACCTCTGTCTGGCGTGGGTCTGGGGGCGGCAATGCCTAGATTGGAGGATCGACGCAATAAAGCTTGAAACGCTGTGCAAGCAACCCTCGGCCTCCCTTACGACTGAGGCTCTAATTTGCACACCCCCAAAAACAGCATCAAACCTAACCTGCACAGGGCAGCTAGCAAGCAAAAATAGGTCTTACAGTGCCATGACCTGTTGAACTGTGCCATGTTATTCTGATCAGTGGCACCTGCAAGTCCAGGTGGACGGCTGTGGTGAAGTCTTCCTGGAGGTGAGGGGTATGCCATCATCCAAGTCAAGCTGGACTATGACAGCGAGACAAAAGAACTAAGCATGTGGGAAACAAAAAGAGGAACAGAATATAGTAACAGGTGCATCGCTACTAGTAACAAGTGAATTACTGAATTAGTAAGAAGCTACTAGATCACTTTGTGGGCCGAAAACACTCACCTGAGCATCACCTGATCAGGAAATGTCCACTCACTCAGCATCGTTCCGCCGCGTTCGTCGCCCGTCGTTCCACACCTCCAGAGAGCCCAGGATGAGAATCTGCACTCGCGGCTCAGACCTGGGAGAAGTGGAGAAAGGGCTGACCAGACGTGACTTGCCAAAGGTGTGGATGGAATTCGATGCAGGACATCTCTGTCTTTGTACAAAGGAATACAGAGGTCACGGTACGTGTTGTCCCGTCTAAAGTGGTGGTCATCAGTCTTTGGAATGCCGTTCATCTTGAGATCTTCGCCTGCTGAGTGAATGTGATGTGTTGCGACGGAAGGGTGGCATTGACACTGACATTGACACTGAAAACTGGCAGGGCGTGAAACAAGCGTCACTGGGGCTCTAACAGCATGTCTTCAACCCTCGCCTGACCATCTCTGTTATCCAACGAATGCCAGTAGCAAGCCGACACAAAGAGCTGCAGCCAAGGTCGACAGTCTCTGTGCACTTTCAAAAGCCTCCAGCGAGCATTTTTTTCTGTCGCCAAAAGAATCAATCGCAACTCTATGAAGTGCAATATCATCTTCGCAAGAGCCTGATTCACGCAGAACACCATGATTGTCAACTTTGCACCCCCTCCACCAGTAAACGCCAAGAAACAGCAAAGGTCTGGAGATGGGAGGACAGTGCCCATGAGGGTTGCGGCAGCTCCACTCCTGCATCTGATGGGTTCTGGACGTACTTCTGGCTGACGAGCAAAAGCGCCACACGAGATTGTAGATTCGACAGTCCGGATTCCGCACCACTTTAACGACTCAAGCTCACCAGAAATTTCTAGATTGTATGCAGATGAATATGCTTCTTGCCAATATTCTTGGAGTTCATGTGCCCCGCACTCCAAGGGTCGTAAAAATCGAGCAATGGTCACAGGCACCAAAAGTTCTTCATTGATCTTGCTGATTCGATCTCCTCCTTGGAAGATGTCACCTCGAAGCCACAAGGAAGGTGGCATCCAATGAAGATTCATCACATCGCCATGTGGAAAAGTGAACCTCTTTGTGTTCGTTAGATCTGTGAAACTCTTTCTGCTCTTGGTGTCCTCCTTCCATACGCCTTCACTCACTTTCCTCTCGGAACCTTGAGGAAGTCGCAATTTCACGGTGAGCATTTTCTCGCCACTTGGCTTCCCAGATGTGTCGAGAGAATCTCCCTCAGCAGCAGGTCTTTTGGTTTCATCAGAGCCGAGAAGTATGGCCCACTGCGTGGGAGACTCCAAGCCTTCAAAGTCACTGGCCACCGAGTCACTTGCGAGTGACAGCTGCAAAGCCTGCAAGCTGTGGCAGGCATAGCGCGGACATATCCGCAGCCGAATCTGTAGCTTGTAAATCTTGTAGGATCCCAGCGACCCTCCACACCACGCAGGAAGATCAGGCTCAACAATAGGCTCTTTGGCCTCTTCAGGCTCAGCAAACTCAGCAAAGACCAAAGCCATATCCAAGGTTTTAATCTGTACCTCACCCAGGCAAGGCGTATCAAAGCATCGCTCCTGATGTGAGGCGGGCTGGTGGAACAGTTGCGTATCATCTTCACGATAGAGATGGAGTCGTGCAGTGAAGCGCTCCTTAAACCGGGCCATCTGAAGTTTTCCAGAAGGCGATTTGAACACTTTCTGCTGGACAGACGCTTGTGGCCCTTGTGGCGCACTTCCAATCTCCAGGTCTTCTCTGGTCTCTTTTTTCAGCGACACTTGGGAGCTGCGAAATGCTCTCTGCCAGAACTCTAAGTTCTCGGATTCAGTTTGCACCCCATCTGTTTCACATCCCCCCCAAAGCCAAGCTTCTACCACGACCTTTGGACATCGTTTTCTTCTGTTTCTTTCACAGCCCGCTTCCTTGTCTCCATTCGTTCCGCTCTCCCCGTCGTCCTCCAGAGTTGACAGGTGATCGATTTGGAAGAGGAAGTGTTCGAAACCGATGACGAGATGTCTCCCCGAATCTGGGAACTCACCTCGTTCCAGTCGTGCTCCGCTAAGATTTAAGAACCAGCTCGCCTTTGGAGCCTCGCTGTTGTAGCAAAGCGTCCGTGTCTCTGGCTTGGGTCGGCTTGCGGCCAAATGTTGCAGCTGAAGTGTCCACGTTGCTTGTGGTCGAGCCTGTCCGTATGGTAGCCATTGCTCTCCGAGCAGCTGCCACGTGCCTTCCACACCTTCCAACATCCAGGCCTCAAGCAAAAGCATGGGACGTCGGGGTTTCAAGCCTTTGGCAATAGCTTCGGCCTCGTCTCTTCTGCAAGAAAACCATTGGGATACTTGAGATTGACGTTCGAATCTCTCCTTGGCTGCCTGGGCTTCCTGGAGGAGTTCTTCACCCTGCACCCTGGCCTCTTGAGCTTGAGAAACTTCGTGCTCTTCCAAAGTCTCGGAGGCAAAAAGAGCTTCGGCTTGGGTCTCCAAATCCTCCTCCTGCAGCTTTAGCTCGCTCACTTCCCTTTCTGCAACAGCAAGCTCCTGCAGCAGTGTTTGCTTGCCTTTCCGACCAGCCATAAGTCCTTGTTTAGCATGGCTGCACACTCAGCCGCCCGTGAGTTGCTACATGCCACACTTTGTTGTGAGCAAAGCTCAGCAAGTTTTTCTTCTGTGAGCCTGTTTCTCCAATGTCTGAGTTCGTCCCTTGTTAGAGATGCTCGTAACCCTACAGTCGAATCTATGCATATGTATATATATTTATGTATATTCACTATACATCTATTTATATATATATATATTATGGCTGGTAAACTGCACAATGAATTCTACACACACATTTCTACGAAATGCTCCTCTTCTCCACTTGCAAGCCCATGGATCGGCATGTACAAAGCATCATGGTCAACTGAGACCAAGAGCCAAACTCATATGCAACAAACTGATCATGCCTGCACCTTTGCCAGTCGAACAGCCAAGCTAAATTCCAGACCCAAAACAGTCTTCCAAGTACCCAGGAACTACCAAGAGGCCTGTGATGCCTGCATGTCGTTCGTTTGAGCAAGCTTCACCTGTGATGTGGGAGAAAAGAATCCACAATTTGGAGCTCTGACTCTGACTTCTTCAACTGGTTTGGTACAGGTGGGTTGTGAGTTGTGCCATATTGCCACACAACAGGTAAGCCTCTCTTAAAAGGAGAATCGTGGCTCCCGTTTGTCCTACCTTCAACCCCAAAGGGGCTCGGCTGTAAGGCTTGTGACTGCTTTGCATCTTGAGTTTGTGCCTGCTGTTCATCTTGACAAGCAGCTCGTTTGGCTGCCTGCAGGTAGGCAAGCCAGCAAAACCCTACGCTCCAAAACGGCATGAAGAAGCCATGGCCATGTAAGGACCCCTCCCAGCAAGGTGTGAAGAGCTGAGGCCTTACAAGGGGCCTTTAAGGCCCCCTTTGGGAAGGTTGATAATGTCCTTCTTTCAGATGGACCTTCTTCCCAGCATTTCCGATGCTTTTTGGATACTTCTCACTTGACACGCATGCTCTATGCTCTGTGGCGCCATCAGCCTGAGAAGGGTGGTGAAGACGCCAGAGAGCTTGAATGCTCCTGGCATGGGCCGAGATGTCACCGTAACACACAGCATCTGTTCCAGTAACTACAGTAGCCACTGTGGGCTGCTCGAAGCAGGACAGCGGTGGACTGAGTTGCTATTCAGACTGTATGCTGGATAGACTTCTTGTATAGCTGTCTAAACTGCCTCTGAGTGCAATGAACCAAACCTCTGGAAGCCTTTGGGGCATCCTTGTGATGAGTCAAAACCCTGCAAGGGGCTCATTCTTTTGTCGCGCGTGAATGCAAAAGTGTCTTGAGGTGACTCAGAAGACCTCGGCTTAGATTGCTTGAAGTAGCATCCCACAACTACATTGTCCGATCATGCGACGTTCTCAGATTCAAGCTCAAGATTGAATCCGAAAGGGTCCAAATTTCACGAACTTTGTGTTTAAGGACGGATCAACACATGTGAAATCGGTAAGACTGTTGCCTCGACCACCTGTGTCGGCATACTACCATGTGTCACCATCACCATGTATCGCCCTTCTCTGATACCCTTTGTCATCACCCAGTATCTGCACCTTGAGAAGGAAAACATGTCAAATCTAGAGACACACTCAACTTGGCCAATAAGATCTCCGGGACTGAGCTGCAAAGGAATCTGTGTTTCACAAAGTGACCAGAACCAATGAGCTGAGCGGAGACTGTGATGAATCTGGGAAAACTCAAACAAGTGCTGGATGGTGAAAGCTATGTTGTGCAGTCGTTCAAAATCAGGCTAGGGCTGTGTGCAGAAAGATCTGCAGGGAGAACCCTGGCCTGCATGTAGGAGCGTTGTCGCTGCCAAGCCGCTTTGTTGAGATTGTCCTTGACGCTCATATGACTCATAGGCACTGGCTAAGCCTCCTCGACTCTCACCTCGGCAAAAGAAGCGCATGGAGCCTCATTGAGTCGGACGCGCAAGTTGTTGGTGCGACGCCTGCCACGCCAAGTAGTCTTCAAGGCTCCAGTTCGCAACCAGGATCATGTTGGCCAGTCGGAGCGGGTCCTGCGGCGTGCTCTAAAAGGAATTCATCGGCGCGGTTCGCATAGTGTAGCAGTTGTTCTGGAGCTCCAATTCTTGCCCCCCACCTCCTCCCGATCCTCGTGAGCATCATACCAGCGCTGCTTATGACAAAAGCAAATGGGATGGCCCACAGCAAAGGATGAACTCCACTCACCCATGATGCTGGAAAAAGAGAAACGGCTTTCCCTTCTCTGATCCGCCTTCTCCCCGTAGGCAAAGGCCAGGGCAGCTCCGGAATTCCAACATTCCATAGCGACTCCGGCTCCAGCTTTGCAAATGAGCGATGCCCAATTCCGCCAAAGTGTTCAGAGGGCCGACAAATGTGGGACTAGGAGAAGACCAGGTTCTCCCTTCCAGGTGCTCCTTCGATTATGTTGCCAGTTTGCAGAAACGGCAAAGCTCCCAGCAGCATCCCACAGCTTGGCAAAACTTTACAGCTCGTGCACATTCCGGAGTTGCTCTTTCACCCTTCCATTGGGCGAACCACCTGGCAAGCAGCTCCGTCAATATACTGAAATAGGAACTTTAAACGTCACAGTGATGATGTTCAGTTTTCCCGTGTATATATTATTATTTGGTTGTCTCTTCTTCAGGCGATCTCTCATGTTCTCTTTGATTCTAGCAAGGTCTCACCGTGGGTGAGATTCAAGTGAGTCCAAAGTGTGGCTGTCGTAAAATTCATAATTTATCATGGCAAAGGTGTGAGTACTCTTGGCTGATTTTACACCTAGCCTAGCACATCATAATGCAGCAAGAGTAAATGTCTTTTAGATTCCCAGAAGGGCCACCTGCATCTGCTTGGCCCCAAGTCACGACCAAGCCATCAGCCCGAATAGCTGCGAAAGCACCGCTGCTGCTCTCAATTTGCTGAATATCCTCAGGCATAGTGCAGTGTAAGTTGACAAAATGTCACAATGTGAGCGGCTCAAAGGGGGATCGATCACGTACTGTACAAAGTTCGTTTACCAGGAGACAAATCATTGAAAGTCACTTGTTTCCTTCAAGTGGAAAAGTGGAGTCGTAGATTTGTTGCAGTAATCTGATCACTAAACAAGAACCTCCTGCCATAAGTCCTCATTGTCAGCTACTCCTACCAAGTGCCATATACATATACACGCTGCCCACTAACCAATGGTGGGTCTGCAGCTCACAACGCATTCCCACATGTTCACGATCCTTCAGCAAATGTCGCACCTCTTGGCTATCTCCACCTGAAGAAGGCTCCAATACAGCTCATGTGCACTGAGTGGTTTCTTGATGTTTCTTGCACATCTCATCTGCTTGGTCACTGGGGAAACATGAGTCACAGCTCTTCCGGTGTGTCAGACTGATCGACAAGCAAGCTTGGCAGCTTAAACACCTCACCCTGCCGGTGGATATAAGGACCCTGGTCAATTCTATCAATACGTGGCTAACACAGTGACAGTTCCGGGCCTTTTGTCCCCCAGCTCACCACAAGGCCATCCTGCCGTAGGGCAGCAAAGCCCGATTCCGTGGCGCAAATCTGCTTCACCTCCTGCAACAAAGTGCAAGGCTCAGAAAGCCGAGTGGAGGAAAGGTGGCCTTTTGGGAAACCAAGCGAGTCCCACGAATGCAAACACGTTCGAACAGCTACATATGTCCAAATGACACTCTTGTAGGACACTCTTGTGGGACACTCTTGTGGGTCACTCTTGTAGGAAACTCTTGTGGGACACTCTTACGGGACACTCTTGTGGGACACTTCTGTGGGACACTCTAGTAGGAAGCTCTTGTGGGACACTCTTATACGAAACTCTTGTGGGACACTCTTGTAGGACACTCTTGTGGGACACTGTTGCGGGACACTCTTGTGGGACACTCTTAAGGGACACTCTTGTGAGACACTCTTGCGGGACACTGTTGCGGGGCACTCTTGTGGGACACTCCTGTGGGACACTCTTGTAGGACACTCCTGTGGGACACTCTTTTGGGACACTCTTGTGGGACACTCTTGTAGGAAACTCTTGTGGGATACTCTTGTGGGACACTCTTGTGGGACACTCTTGTGGGACACTCTTGTAGGAAACTCTTGTGGGATATGTATACAAGACACTCTTGTGGGACACTCTTGTAGGACACTCTTGTGAGACACTCTTGTAGGACACTCTTGTGGGACACTGTTGCGGGACACTCTTGCGGGACACTCTTGTGGGACACTCCTGTGGGACACTCATTTCGGACACTCTTGTGGAACACTCTTGTGGGACACTCTTGTAGGACACTCTTGTGGGACACTCTTGTGGGACACTCTTGTGGGACACTCTTGAAGGAAACTCTTGTGGGATACTCTTGTAGGACACTCTTGTGGGACACTCGTGTAGGACACTCTTGTGGGACACTCTTGTAGGGCACTCTTGCGGGACACTCTTGTGGGACACTCTTATAGGACACTCTTGTGGGACACTCTTAACTCTTGTGAGACACTCTTGTGGGACACGGTTGCGGGACACTCTTGTGGGACACTCTTGTGAGACACTCTTACGGGACACTCTTGTGGGACACTCTTGTAGGACACTCTGGTGGGACACTCTTGTTGCACACTCTTGTAGGATACTCTTGTGGGTCACTCTTATGGGACACTCTTGTCGAACACTTTTGTGGGACACTCTTGTGGGACACTCTTGTGGGGCACTCATACGGGACACTCTTGTGGGACACTCTTGCGGGACACTCTTGTAGGAACATGTTGTAAGATACTCTTGTAGGACACTCTTGTGGGACACTCTTGTAGGACACTCTTGTGGGACACTCCTGTAGGACACTCTTGTGGGACACTCGTGTAGGACACTCTTGTGGGACACTCTTGTAGGGCACTCTTGTGGGACACTCCTATAGGACACTCTTGTAGGACACTCATTTGGGACACTCTTGTGAGACACTCTTTGTGGGACATTGTCACGGGACACTCATACGGGACTCTTGTGGGACACTCTTGTGGGACACTTGTAGGACACTCTTGTGGGACACTCTTGTGGGACACTCTTGTAGGAAACTCTTGTGGGATACTCGTGTAGGACATTCTTGTGGGGCCACTCTTGTAGGACACTCTTGTGGGACGCTCTTGTAGGGCACACTCTTCGTACGAGACTTCCTCCAAAAGTCACGCTGCGACGCTGCAAGACGAGCGTTTCGTACGAGACTTCCTCCAAAAGTCACGCGTCAAGTCTCAAAAAAGAGCGTTTCGTACGAGACTTCCTCCAAAAGTCACACGTCAAGTCTCCAAAACGTGCGTTTCGTCCGAGACTTCCTCCAAAAGTCACATGTCAAGTCCCCAAAGCGAGCGTTTCGTACGAGACTTCCTCAAAAACTCACATTTCAAAGTCTGCAAAACGAACGCTTCGTACGAGACTTCCTCCAAAAGTCCAGCGGAAACACCCATCGGAGCACACACATCACGCAGCCCTGCCAAGCAGTTTCGCGATTCCAGCCCCTCCAATCAACACCCGCTCACACGCCAATCCCAATGTGCGACATTCACCTCTACCACAACTCACAACCTGCACGATTCCCTGCGCCTGCCACGAAAATCGCACTTCCACACCTCAAAACCCGCACAAAGTACTGCGCCTGCCACGAAATGTAAACACTACACGCTGCGCCGACTATGTAAATAGTACATCCGGTGCGATTCGGCTAGCTTTCGACCTCCTCCCTGGCCTCAAGTCCTTCTTCCAAGGTTGCAAGGAGGGTAATTAACCACTCCAACACCTACCAACATGGTTTTTTCCCGAATGTGTAGCGAAGGGTTCTCGTTCCAGTCTGGGGGTCTGGGGGTAGAGCCTTGTTCGCGACCCGTTGTTTCTATGTTCGCAACCGTCCGCAACCGTTCGCAACCGTCCGCAACCGTTCGCAGTAGAGCGCTAAGGCACTGCCATTGGGGGAAGCTTTTGGAGAGGGTTTCGGATGAAAACGTGACGTGTCAGATTCGTGTGAAATAGCGAGGAATCATGTGGAAATGTAAGATGTTGAAGTGTGGAGGATGATTTCACTGCGCAGGCGCAGCGTTTTGTGAGATCTGCAGTTTACTGCGCAGTTCCATTGGGATTAGCGTTTGGAGAGTCGTGCTTTTGGGGTGTTGGATTCCTGGATGTGGCCGTGCCATTGGGATTTGTGTTTCAGGGTGTGGCATCGAAGCTCTGTTTTCGTGAGAAGTCTCAGCTGAAATGGCGATTTTGGTGGATGGGAGTGTGCCCAGAACGGATCGAAATCATTCCAAACGTGCACTCGTTGGCAGGCACGAAGATGCGTGATCGGCAAATCTGGGGGGTAAATTTACCCCCCGCTTTTGTATGCCTTGAGCCGGAAAGAGGGGTAAGCATTGCTGGCATCACAAGGACTGTGCATACACTAGGGCGTCCGTAGTGTAGGATAAGCACGGGTAAAAGGTATAAGGGATAGAGTGTCTTGAGGAAATAGCCGTTGTATGGTTATAGCAAACCTGGGGGGTAAATTTACCACCCGCTTATGCATGCATTGGGTCAGAAATAGGGGTAAACAACTTGTAACAGTGAAGTACAAGTCCTATGCAGCAAGCAGCAGCCAGCAGCAGCAGCAGCAGCAGCCGCCTGCAGCCAGCAGCCAGCAGCAACCACCAACCAGCAGCCAGCCAGCAGCACCGCGCAGCAGCAGCGCAGCACCAAGCCGCAGCAGCAGCAGCACCAGCACCAGCACCAGCACCATCAGCAGCAAGCAGCAAGCAGCAAGCAGCAAGCAGCAAGCAGCAAGCAGCAAGCAGCAAGCAGCAAGCAGCAAGCAGCAGCAGCAAGCAGCAAGCAGCAGCAGCATCAGCAGCAGCGGTGCAACAGCAGCAGCAGCACCAAGCCGCAACAAGTAGCAAAGCAGCAGCAACAAAAGCGGCAACCAGCAGCAGCAGCAATCAGCAGCAGCAAACAGCAGCAGCAAGCAGCAGAGCGGCAGCAGCAGCACCGTTTACACCAAGCCACCGTTTACACCCAACCAAACACGTTCACACGTTCAACCAACCCCCGCTACACGGCGCAGCTGGGAATCGAACCGGGGGGCGGAAAAAATTGTAAAAGGGAGGTTCTGGGGAGGATTTGTTGGTGTGTTGCTTGTTATGATTTTTTGTTGATGTTCAATGTGTTTTCCTTGCTGTTGATGTTTTGTGTGGGGGGTTCTGGGGTTTTTGGGGTTCTAACTTTTCTGGGGCAGATGGTTTAAGATGAGGTGGATGATTAGGGCCCCATGATTGGTGTCTCGTGTGCCCGCACGAGGCCAGCCTAGGTGGGCAGCCCTAGCGGGATGCTTCGCTTGCCATGGTGGAACGCCCGCGCCCTGCATCTTTGAGCATCTACGTTCTGAATTGCCTGGATCGAACTGTTGCTCTCGCCGTTGGCTACGTAGACCCTAAATCCACGTCGAGGGCATGGGTCGACCAGCTGGGCTACTTGGTCACAGCCACCTTCCTGAGTACCTCGATGGAGGTCGGGGTGGATGTGAGGTGGCCACAGCCGGAAGTGAGGTGGCAACCCTTTTTGCACTTTGAATGCGCGCGGCATAGTGGCAAGGAAAGAAATGGCCGCCAACTTGTTGTTGTTCCGTGCGAAGGCTTGGGTTGTGTACGCCTGTGGGGTGTCAGGAGGTGCCAGAGTACCAGCGCTCTTGTCGGGTCTCTTTCCCCCTTCAGCGTGGTGAGTTGCGTGAATGGCTGCTCCGGATGTGGCGTGAGTGGCTTGATGCAGCCTTGTCTCCCGTCCTCTGTGGTTTGCAACTGGCGTGCAACTCGGTTGGCTGGCAGCTGGACCGCTCAAAACGGTACAGTTGCGGCCTTTCTTCACCTCCTAGTGCCATTTTGGCCGGAGGTTGAAGGTAGAATTCAGCTTTTGACGTGTCCCACCTAAGTGGCTTTTGGATACGGTGCAAGCCTCATGCATGCGAAGCCAAGACCAAGAGCCACACGGCTCAGTACTTGCGAAAGGAAAAAGGAGGTGAATGATTGTTGTTGCTGTTGTGTTCTATTTCTAGGTCTGGGTGTATGGGTTGTAACTATGCTGTGGTTACGGGTTGTAAAGTTTTATGGGTTGTAGTTATGGTGTGGTTATGGTGTTTTTTAGTTTTCAGGTGTTTGCTCATATCGGCCTTTCTTATCACTGCACATTCACATTCAATCTGGTCTTTTCTTTTTTTCATTTAACTCATCTTTTTGTTGATATATAATTCGACATCTTTGAAGAACAGCTTGGTAGAATTTGAACCTGAACCTACACATAGAAGCTCTGACCACCTCAACAATTATCCCCTTCATTCAATCCAAACAATGAAGTGAAAGTTAAGACCCTGAAGCACACATAACAAGACCCCAGAAAAACGACAAAGGCTCAACACAAATTCTCAAGAGCCAAGAAAATTCAACGAGGTGATTGATGAACCAAAACTCCCCAGAACCCCCATTTTACCATTGTTTTGGGGAGGTGGTTGGCGTGATATATCAAGCTTTAAGGCACGCAGCTCATCCCACTACCAATTGCTAAAGCCAAGAAGAACTCAGCTAGCATGCTAGCTTTCGTGACATGAACAAAAATGCTTGTCCTTCAGCTGCGCTTCCACACCACTCGAGTCTCCACCTGGACATGTTCGAACACAGTGGCCGGAAAATCTTTTGGGGCCCTGGAATCTTTGCAACAAATACCCACCAGGATCAGCAAGATTAGGAGGGGAATTCAAACAGTTCAATCCAAAAAGTTCGTCCGGAACAAGAAGAACATCTCTCATATGCAGCCATCTGCACCAAACTCGGGAGCACCCCAAGCAACCACCGTGCTCTCATTCGTGATGCCCGCAAAGGCAAAGGCAGAGGTGCAAATCTCGCGAAGAGCATCTGGGCAAAAGGCTCGAAAAGAATCTTTAAAATGGGTACACAAGCTTCGTGCTTCGATTGTACAGCTGGTGCTTAGATTGGTTCTAGCCCCTTCTTCTTGTGTATTCATTCCGATGAAAAAACGTCAATCTCGTGGCATTCTACACAGAAACAAAATGGCGGTTTGCCAGTCCAATGCGGCCTTTGTGCAAAAAAAACATCGCAATTTGTCACTTCTTTTGTACATCATCTCGCAAGTCCCTCAAGCCCCAGCCAAGCCCACTTCTGCCCAGATACACTTTGTTTCAAGTAGTCTTACAGTCTCACTGTTCTGAGCAGTCACCAGTGCAACGCTCCCATCCTGAGGGTGTGCATGAATCATTCTCCAGCTTCGATTTGCACCCTGGCTGCCCTACAGTCGCAGATGAAGATGATGAAAATGAAAAGGATGGAAATGATGAAAATGATCGTGATGCTGACTAGTAGCTGACTAATATGATTTCTACCAATCGGGGCAAACTGCTGGCCAAGTGAACGTGTCCCTCTTTGGAGTGCTGCCAATAGGTTTCTTGTATTGTTATGCAATCCACGTAATATCAATTCCTGTACTTGGAAAATGATATCCTCCAGGCTAAAGGTAGTTACACTATTCTTGCACAATACTTTGGAAAGGGAAGGATTTTCCAGGCTCCCAAATCTGGCCTTTCGCAAGGCGGCGAAGGTCTCGGCCGAGGCCACCAGGCTCGACACCTTGGTCACGATTTGATTTGCAAAACAGCCTGCAGGACTGCCTGCAAGGCTAGAACGATGGGCCAATGTTGCCACATGGAAGTGACTTAAGAAGCAAACACTGGAAGGCCAAATTCGCCAAATGTCAATGTCTTCTTAGAAAACTTGACATCCCCAAGTGCCATTCTGCCATGTCCGCGCCTCTCCCAAGTCCACAGCACTTGGCGCGCCCAAAAGCTGGACCAGGCCGTCAGAGCGCAAAGCCGCAAAGGAGAAGGCAGCAGCGCACAGAAGCTGCGGCAAGGAACGTTTGAACGGAATGACCGGATGGTGAGGTGAAGATGGCGACATTGTACTCACACTCCAAACAGGGTTCACGGGTTTCATCATGTTTCATCCACCGCAAAAATGCTTTCCCCAAGCCGAGCAGGGTTTCATGGACTTAAAAAATCAGGTGCCTCGTGTGATTCTTGGGGCCTCCCAACGGTGGACACCTTCCAATGATGGATAGGAAGGACACCTTCCATGATGAATGGACAATAGATCCTAAGAGATCTACCGCCTGGGATTGACACCCTGTTCTGCAGTAATACAACTGCATGAGTACCTGATCTGTCGGTCTGTGTCTTTTGTCTATCAGAAAGTCTCTTTCCGGTCGGACTATGGGGAGGAACCGACTGATCCCAGCCGCGGAAGGCAATTGCGAGAAGGAGATTGGCCCTTCTTCGAAGCTCCCAAAGCTGAAGTTGCCTCAACATCGCACAGCTCAGCATTTCCACCTGCTCGATGTCGGCCCCAAGTGATCACATGGCCATCAGCCTGCAGGGATTGGACCTCTTCGAGATCTTCCACGACTTGAGATCGTTTAGAATCTTGTCTTAACAAGGTAGCCTGGACTACTGGGCTTGTCCAAAAATTGCACGCCCATCAATGACGATAAGGCACATTCAATTAACACTGGCAAACATTGTGCAATAGAGGCCCTCACATCAGAGCCCAACTAGCTCCCACAAGAGACAAATTATGTGTTACAAACTGTCAGAATGAAATAGATTAGCCGCCAAGAACATCACATGGGCTGACTGTGTCAAGACTTCCCTGCCTGCAAAGCTCCGAAGGCGCCTTGAGTGGCCACAATGTCCTTCACATTTGCCTTCATCAGTTGCATGCTGCAAAAGTTCAAATGACACATAGGATGGAACCTCCAGCTTGAAAAACTTGTCACCGTGTCACCACTTGACCTGTCTGTGAGAGAGGCGCGAAGTACCTTCAGATCACATTCATGGATGTCCTGAAGTGCTTCCAGGTCTGTCAAACCAGTAAGTCAGTAGCTGGCCTACTTTCATCCCCCTGTTGTTGGCAAAAGTCAACCAGACAGGTTCTGCACCTTGCAAGGTGCCAAACAACACCCTGGCAAGCTATGGCATTGACCAAGCTGCCAGCTGCACCTTGCTGTCGCCCCCATGGCGGACCGATCCCCAAGCCACAGTGCTCCCATCGGCACGTAGTGCGCAGAAGGCGCCCGAGGTTGCCTGGATCTTCTGGATCTCTCGGAGCTGCCCTGGTCGGTTTGGGTTCGGTTTGACCGAGCTGCGTTTCTACACATCGTTGAACGTCGAAAGAAGGATGGGAAGAAGCTAAACGCTGGACGGGTTCACCTCTGCAACCACCTCTTTGAGATACAAAGAGCAATTAAGCAACTTCAAAGAGCCAATCAATCCTGGTGCGGTCAAACTTGGGAAGATCAAATCTCCTGCTCACAATAGTAACTCTTCTTCAGCGAGCACAGCCATTTCAAGCTTGAGAAACATCAGCGGTCGCATCTCTAAAGTTGGACGTGTTATGGAGTGAACGTACATGTCGCTCCTATCTTGCATCATCCGACCCAAGCAACGGTGCCTTGAACCCAAAGGCTGTCGCCCCCGAAACGTTTCCGGCCCCATGTTACCACTGTGCCATCATCGCGGAGAGCTGCACAGGCGCTCGCCGTGGCCTGCACTGACGATCATGAGAGATTAAGCAGGAACCAAATGCCATGGCCTTCTCAAAAAGGATGATGCCTTTCTGAACAGCTGGAAAAAAGCTTATGCTTAAGGCATTTTGCTGTCATGCACGGAATAAGGATCACATGCTCAAGCATGCTTCTCAATACGCACCACCAAGGTCGGGCCTGAATCTGTATCACATCTCGAAGCGCCAGGGTACGTTGAACCAGTTCAGAGTCACCTCCACCTTGAGGATGACCCCATGTGACAACCTGAGTCTTTCTGCAACGGCCATCGCCATGGTCCCATTGACCCCGTATCTCGCCACCATGTCCCACACTTGTGGCCTGCAGGAACTCTGTCTTGTTGAGGACACTTGAAGCCTGTGTTCAATGCCCAGCAACTTGTTTTGACATACGTTGGTGTGAGACATGCAAGAACACCTCTATATACACCTAGGAGCCAATGTGTATAAAGGAAACAGCATCACCATGCTTGCCAAGTCACTGACCCATTTGGTCGAATCAAAGCCAAGACGCGAGAGAATCCTGAGCCAATTTTCCTGGCCCCCCCAAAGGACTTGGCAGGCCACTGGCTCTACTATATACAGACTTCTTACTTGCTATGGCGGCAGAAAAAGTTAAACACTTCTCCCTTCAGACTCCGCTGGAACAACTGGAACTCACTTGGAGACAAAGGCCTTTTCCCCGTTGGCAACACAGTTTCCTCCCACTCCATGGACCCAGGAAAGTCTGAAGATTTGCAAGGTTAAGCCATGTGTTTTGAATCACATCTCACACCTTTCACCTGAAACCTTGCAATACTGAATTGAAGTCTTCTTGGACTGATGGAGTGTGGAGAAAGGTGAGACGCAGCCATGGCCGCAGCTATGTAACTATGTACATTAGGTGCCTCAACTAGCAGCTTTCTATCCCTCGCAATCTGCCTTCATCAGCGTTCAGCATACCGGTTCACCAAGACCGTAGCTGCAGGGTTCATATTGGTGAGGTAAGACCGTATATATGACCGTTTGAACATCTGCATGAACACTGATACCTGTGGAGCACAAATCAGCACAACTCATTGAGAAATTCCCATGGACCATCTCAAAAGGCCATTCAATTCGAGGCCGGGCCTCTTTGAAATCGACCCTCCGCTCTCAGACAGGCGACCTCACCCGATCGTCCACATCCAGGACAGTCCACTCACCATCCTCATGGCCTGACTCCAAACGATTGGGCGGCACTGCAAAATGCCGGGTCCCCTCTGCGTCGCCTGGAGGAGAAATGCAGCCCAGGTGCTCAGCTCTCAGCAGCGCTGCCAAGAGCTGCAAAGTGCCAGCGCCCTTGGGGGTGGAGGTGACGCCCGCACATCGACAAAGCTGCAACAAGTCCTGATCCACCAGACGAAGAACAGCAGCAAACTCCGACGTGCAAATGTTGTCGTAGACGCTGAAATGGCTCCAGGTCCGTGTGAAGGGGTTCTGTACACAGGGAAGCACCCACTCTGGAGCACCCGCTGGAGCACGAGGCCGAGCCAAGTAGGCCAAACCTCCTGTGGAGCTCCTCCGATGCCGCTCTCGCATGCCCGAGGCAGCGGTCGCAGCTTCGACGGCCGAAGAAACCTCTCGCAAACCTCGCCCGGCGCTGCAGGGAAAGGGCAAAGTCACGTCCAAGCAAGAAGCCAAGGCAGAGATCAGCCGCATCAAAAGCATCAAAGCAGCCTCAAGATGATGAAGTTCGTCCTCCCCCAGAACACCACTTCGCTCAAAGGATTGCACTTGACCTAGGCTGAGCACGTCCTGCCCAGAGCCCATATGCAACCACTTTACAGGCAAGAGCTCGATGAGATCGCTGCACCTTCGTCTCCTCTCCTGTTGCAGCGCAGCTGACACCACTGAAAGCTCCTGGTAGACATGGAAAGCACCAAGTTGATGTCGAGCTGGATTTTGCAGGAACTGCGCACGCGAGACAGCCGCTTTGGCGTCCAGCCGCCGGCGTCCGCTCTGCCATGCGGCCCAGTGCTCCTCATGGACGCTCCGCCGTCGGCGGAGCCGCTCCCGGAATTCCTCCAAGTGCCTCTTGCGAAGGGCATTGCTCGCATTCCTCTCCTGCAGCTGCGCACGCAAGACCTTCAACCGCTGGCGTAGCTGTCCACACCTCTGCAGGGCAGGAGTGCCTTTCGTGCGCCGCAGCAACGACTCCAAGGCTTCTCGGGACTGTTGCACTTGCCTTTTGTCCCAGCAGCGAGCCACGCGCTGAAGGCAATTGCCACAACAGCCCGGGAGGAGTTGCCCATGACAACATGGACAAAGCAAACGTTGGGTGACTGGACGCTGCGCCGGCTGCGCCGGCTGCGCCGGCTGCGCCGGCTGCGCCATGCGTCTCCCGACTCCCAAAGGAAGAGGTTGGTTGTTTGGCTGGGGGAAAAAAAAAGAACTCTGGTTTTGGCAACCCCATGAGCGACTGCCCCGTTGTCCACACTTCCACACTTTGTTTATCAAAACAGGTTATGTCAATCTGTCCTTTGCTTGACAGTTTCAAACCAACTGCAGCCTGAAAAAGAATGAGTGCAGTCATCAAATGTGCAGCGTGAACGAGTAGTACTGCAACACCCAAGCAATGAGTCTGAAGGATCAACACAAAGAAATGGATCAATGTGATTCCTCCATGATGCTCACCAACCCGATCGCCCAATGCAATTTCTCCTCAACAGGCCCACTTAGAGTTCTTGCAACTTCATCTAGAAAAACACGGTGCAAGAAGATATTTCCTGCCAAAAGCCAAGCTTCTTCCAAGACCCAGAGGGCGTGCCCTCACCTTTCAGTGCCTTCCCACCCTTTTCAGGTACTTCCCACGTCCAAGGGGCGGTGGTTGGACGTCAGCTTCGCCTGGCGCGCGCTGGCCGTCACCAGGTCTCCGTCCTGGAGGCCTTCGGCAGCCACGGTGGAGAACCTTTGGGCGCCAAACGGCGCCAAACGGCGGCGCGAAGCAGGGTTGGAGGGTTGGTGTTTGGTGGTCTTCTTTAGAACAAGAAAACCATACATCCATATATTTGGGGGTAGGTTTCAAGTATGTTGGGTTTTTTATGACTCAGCAGCACCTCATCTGTCAGTACAACCTCAAGTTGACAAACAAGTAGTGGAATCTCTTTTGATGTGCTTTGGAAATCGTTTCTACGACCGTCATTCTTGATGAATTCGTGGCAAGACTCTGGCTTTGGGCTCCTGGACCTATTGTTGAAAAAGTAGACATAGTGGCAATGCAGTAGATCCATGAGCTGTTTGTTTAGTTGCTTTTGCCACAACTTCCCAGCAAGCCAAGTATATAAAGTTGCAAACCTGTTTTCTAGCGGGTCAGTGAGAAAAGAGTTGGCTGAGCTGTTCCTCTTCAGAGCTCTCAGTGTCCAGAATGCCCAGTTAAAGGCCCGAGTGACCTTTTCAAGGCTTTGCCAGTCCGCGAGTTGAGCCAGACCGAAATTCCAACACCCAGCTCCTTCTGCGCACGGTCCCTGGCGAAAGGAAGCAACCCCTACTGTCAAGTCCAGGGCCGGGTGCAAAAGCTTCCAGATCTACGCCGCAGGGTGAGTAGACAGTTGAGTTGCATTATCAAAGGGTTTTTAACCCAAACTGCCTATATATGATATAGGTGGAAAAATATATATGATATAAGGTCTCCAAGCAAAAGTTCTTGAACGTACAAATGCAGCGTCACTGTGATCTTGAAAGTATCTCACGTCAAAAAGAGAGACGGGTGCACCTATCTGCCTGCCTTTTGATGCCTTCGCCTTACATGTGTCTTAATCGTAAAGCCTGATCACATGAACACCTGAAGGGCCTGAAGGGGACAGTCGAAACCACATTTAGAACCCAAACAATCGATCCTCAAGGCCCAGATAGTCTCTTCAGGCTCCACAGTCAAGCAGCAGCTGCGGCCGCTCAGCAAAGCAATTTCCAAAGTCGGCATTCGCTTCAGAACAACACAACAGCATTCGCTTCATCAATTATTGCAAGATTTGACACAACTTGGGATCTACAGAACAAGTTGTGCCGACCTGTATCTTTTTTGTCACTTGGGCATGCACTTTGCAATCGCTGCAGAGTTGAATGTCCATGTTGAGTCTTCACAACTGATTGCCCTCCACGCAACTGAGCATTGCTGAGGGTGTGATGACTGTCACGTGGAACATTCCACTGACAGAAAGTCTCCCCCACTTCAGGCAACTTGCCAGCGGCCGCAGGAATTTCTGCATCATGAGACCCAACAACCTATCATCTTAAGGTTTCAACACCGCAGCATGCTCAGCATTGTCCTCTCTCAAATCCTTCGAGATACCTAACTCATGTTTGTCCAATCTCCAAAGCTATCTTTATGTGTAGTTGTATACATGAACTGGACATTTGAGCCACGACTGACACACAATGTTGCGAAATGTCCTGTCTTCTTGCTGAAATATGCTGGTACTCCAGGTTTCAACCAGTAGTCACTATATACACGAGATTCTGAAAGCCCAATTTCTTCAAAGCTGCACAATCGCGGAAAACCTTCCCCTACGAGCGAGAAGCTACTATATAATTAGTAACAAAGGGCATCGCTACTAGAGCAAGGACGCGACTAGAGGCTCCTGGCCTTACTACTAGGAGCAAGAAGCAACTAGTATCTACTAGTAACAAATCACTTGGAGGTTACCCACAGTGGGCCCAGCTTCGATCGGCGGCTCCGCAGCTCCTGGCAGCCTCTTCCTCCATGCCCCGGAGCACCTTGAAGCTCCTGCCCTTGAAGGCCTGGAGGCACAACAGTGAACTCCTTCCTTGATTACAAGTCGACGACTTCTAAACAAAAGAAACTAATAGCGATGGTCTCCAACCCAATAGCGATGGCCTCCAACTTACTATATAGCTATGGCCTCCAATCTACTAGCAATGACCTCCAAGCCTCTAACCTAAGACTTCTTTTGGAGTTTTGTGATGGCGAGAGTGTTGAGGCCATGATTGTTGCTTCCGTGGCAAAGACTCTCGAAGTCTTGCATCATTCTTGGGAAGTGGCACCTCTGCCAGAGCCAGATCCATACTTCAATTCAGGCAAATGGAGTTAACGCAAACTCTCACATCGGTCTACAGCCAAGAGTGGAGTTGGGAACCAAAACAGCCGAGGATGACACGATGCCAAATTGCACACGAATGGAGTGCGAGTAGGGTGCCAGCTTGTTATTCTCAATGTGATTCAAAAAGGAAGAATGATATTGGCGTGTGACTGCATCTCAAAATAGACTCCAGGATACTGCACTTTGAGGAGCATTAACAGGAACTCAAATGCAAATGAGCAGTCCTGCCTTGTCTTCACAAATATCACAGAGGAAGTCTAGGAGAAACCTCGCAGTAGTTGCACCAAACTTCCACGTTCGATATGACAGGAAGTATGACTTCGCCATGTCGTGCATTTGCAACTCCACGTAGAAGTCAACGCCAGGTAGGTTTTCTTCAGGAAAGCAAAAAGCAACGAGATGTGTTGTTCATGAACAGCTCCCAAAAGGTGCCACAGTAACAGAGCTGATGATCAAATGAAGGAACCAATGGACACACTGGGCATCCGCACTGGGAGTCTGCCTGCTGCCACGCATGCACACCGTTGCCTGCCAGCATGGAGAGTTGTCCAAAATTCAGCGCGAGTGTTTCACTCAACGTTGTCATTGTCTCCGAGATCAAAGCTCCAGGCTCGGGGTGTGCGAATACAGTGTGAACACAATGAGGCCATTCACTCCTCTTCCGCTGTACCAGTGAAATGCATGGTAGACATCCACGCAACTTCTACTGTCGTCATGTATCCCCAGGGGTACAGGAAGAATCACCCGAGCAAAAAAGAAGCACAGCTGCATTCATTTTGCCCTGCTGTCGTCTGCTCATCGCCTGTCAGGTCGGATGGAGATTACCACATTGGAGCGGGTTCTACTGATCCTCATCCCACAGAACTAAGTATTTTGTAGGAACATGCTAGCTCATGTCCAACTCCAATGCCACATGGGTGTATGTAATATAGAGATTGGCGAAAGCTGGTTCAACTTATTACCAAATATCTCTTTCCAAAATGAAAAGGTGACCCAGCATGCTCATGGCCGTCGTTCAACAGCCACTTCGTCTTTCCCAACACCCACATTTTTGCAATCTCCCCAGTAGTCTCGTTTGGTGTATGAGATCAAGACCCAGAATGCCACGACTGCACGTCGAAATTTGCCAAGAGCCGTTGTTTCTCGTTCAAAGTTCTAAAAAATAATCTCGAGCACATCAACAAATCATAGGCTCGGTCGGTCACAACACCGAACTCCTCACCCACAAACACCCATGTCTAGCTGACAGAAGGGGACAAATACAGAGAAATGGCACCGAGCTGACACGTCTAGGATAGCCATGAGCCCAATGCACGCATCTTTTTGCCAATGCACGCTCACTCACGAGTCCAAAGCATCACATTGGCCCTGAACTCACGAGAAGCTCAGAGCAAACCAACCTTCGCAAACTTGTGGGCAAAGTCACATGATCCAAGCTTTGAGTGAAATTCAGACCGAAGCTTAGACATTGGAGGCTATTCGGAAAAATAACTCCTTCCAAACTCTGATCAAAGTCATTGCCGAACGCAATGTTCAGGAGGCTAGTTGGTAAAGTCACTCCTTTGAGATCCTGATCAAAATCATCGCCAAAGGTGATAATCTCGAGGCCACTAGGCAGGTTCACTCCTTGCAAACTCTGATCAAACCTTTCTCCAAAGGTAAGGCTCTGAAGGCTACTTGGTAAGGTAACTCCTTCCAAGCTCCAGTTGAAATCTCTCCCAAATATCAGGCTCTGAAGGTTGCTTGGCAACGTCACTGCATCCAAGCTTTGGTTGAATCTTTCGCCAAATGCCAGGCGCTGAATCTTGCTCGGAAGTGTCACTCCAAGCAAACTCTGATTGAAAAGCCACCCAAAGTTTAGATCTTGCAGGCCATCCGGTAAAGCCACCCTTTCGAGACTTTGATTGAAGCAATTGCCAAGAGTCAACTGTTGCAACCCACTTGGTAGAGCCACTCCTTCCAGGCTTTGGTTGAAAGATTGTCCAAAGGTCAGGCTCTGGAGGCTGCTGGGCAAGGTCACTCCGGTCAAGCTCTGGTCAAAATCATCACCGAAGGTGAGGCTTTGAAGGTCGGGCAAAACAACTAAATTCAGATCCATTGCAAATTCACTGCCAATCGTGAGGCTCCTCAACCTGGTTGGCCAGCCTATGTCTTCCAGGCTTTGCCTGAAGCCGCTCCCCAGCCGGAAACTCTGGAGGTTGCTTGGCAAGGTCAAGCCTTTCAAACTCTGGTCAAAGCCTCTCCCAAGAGCAAGACTCTGAAGGCTGGTTGGGAAGGCCACTCCTCTCAAGCTATGGTTGAAATCATCCCCTAATGTCACGGCCTGGAGACCGGCTGGCAAAATTACCTGAACCAAACTTCGATTAAAGCCTTTGCCAAAGGTCAGATGTTGCAGGCCCTCAGGCAAAGCCACACGGTCAAAGGTCTGCACGAAATTACGTCCAAGGGTCAAACTCAAGAGGTGGCTTGGCAGAGTTGCTCCTTCCAAGCTTTGGTTGTAGTTGGCTCCGAAAGTCAGATTCTGGAGGCCCTTTGGCAAGTCTACAAACTCTAAGCTCTGGTTGAAGCAATCCCCAAAAGTCAAGTGCTGCAGGTGGATGGGAAGAGTCACTCCTTCCAAGCTTTGGTTGAAAGACTGGCCAAAGGTCAGGATCTGGAGGCTGCTGGGCAAGGTCACTCCCTGCAAACTTTGGTCAAAGAACAAACCAAAAGTCAAGGCTTCGAGGTGTCTCGGCAAGCTGACCTGCTCCAACCTCTGGTTAAAACGGCGGCCAAAAGTCAAGCTTCGGAGGCTGGCTGGCAAAGTCACTCCTTCCAAGCTGCAGCAAAAGTCTGTGCCAAACCTCAAACTTTGGAGGCTGCTTGGTAGAGTCACCCCCTCTAAACTCTGGTTGAATCTATCGCCGAAGGTAAGGTTGTGGAGACTGCTTGGTAGAGCCACCCCATCCAGCTGTTCATTGAAATTACGGTGCAAGGTCAGTGCCTGGAGGCTCTGCGGCAGCTTTGTTAGCTGATGTTTGTTGTGAATGTTCGACAGCTGTGTTAGTCCTTCCAATGTTCGAAAGTTTTCCTCCTGGAGTGGCAAACCTTGGAGAAGCCTCCACGCATTCTGTAGCTTCAAAGGTAAGTACACATAAGACAAGCTTGCGGCAAAGCCAAAGAAGAGCCCTTGTTCCATCAAAGTTTTGTTCATTGATAGCTCCTCAGAATCATTCTGCAACGACACATGTGCACCAGCTTTGGAAAGCATTTTGCTCACAATTTCATGGAGTTGACGGCCTGTGATGGTGTCAGGCACTCTCACCATCAACCCATCTCCATCCAAACCAACAACCTGAACAGGTGGTGCCAAGACTTCCATGTTCCAAATTTGCCCTACGCCTATGACAGATCAACTGATTACGAGAAACTCATGTTGGGAGCTAGACCGAACCTGTGCCCAAAATGTACCGCTAGCCCAAACCCAGCGCACCTCAATTTCAATGATGTTCTCTCTCGGAACTTCAGCGCAGGGCTCTGCCAACGCCATAGTACAGTACAGGACAACAGATGTTCGCAAATAGACAGGCTGAGCCAAGTCTTCTGAGCGAAGCTGTTGGCCGAACAACTCAAACTCACCAGGGAGCAAGCCAGCAACCCTTCCACTTCGTTACAAACCCGCACTCCACTTGTCCCAAGCTGTACCAACCACAGCCACAACTTCTTCAGTTCCGTGGTTTGGGCACATTCTTGAATTCAACATTAATACTGGAAGGGCACGTGATCTGCAGGAGAACCACTATAAGTGTCAAAGCACCCCGAGATATTAATAACTCTCCATCACAAATTCCCGGCCAAAGCACTAGGTACTTGCTGAACAAAGGAATGAGTTCTATATGATTCCTGACCCTGTATCGAGTGCAGAGCTATACAGCCGAGTTTCTATACCAACAAAAAGCATGAAGTCAGCGATAGAGTGATAGAGTGTGTCGACAGTTCATCTGCTCTGTTTGAGCTCCATGAGTTTATCGCAGTTGTAGAAGCCATGTGTGGCCTGTTGTCTTTTCGGTTGTGTTGCATAGGGTCAAATGTCACCACCTTGAAAAATGGGATTGTTAACCGACTAAATGTTCCACCTCCCAGTGCCCTGCCTGCAAGACCACAGCCCAGAAGCAAGGATGCATTACCTGCTTGGAAGCTCCCTATACATCTTGAGGGTTTGAAGAGAAAACACGCAACTTTTTTCGAGGAAACAGACTACAAATCTAAGGATATGAGCAAGTAGCTTGGAGGCATGTCCAACTTTGCCTTACTACTGGGACTATTTATCGGATCAACAACAGCAGCACAAAATCATCACTGGCTAACATGCGTGATGTGGCTTGGATATCCACAATATTCATTTATAATGGTAAGAACTAAAAAGAGAAAATCTTAGTCACAATAGCAATGATGATCCATGGTCCATCACCCGCACATGGCCTTGGACATTCTGGCATATAATGTCATCCCAGAACTCAGCATCAGCCCCTTCCTTCAGCAAAGACTGCAGAACAAACGCCCTCAATTTTTTATGGTTCTTCTGTGTGAATGGTGACCAACCGACCTAGGATTTCCATGGATTTCCGACTTCACCTTCTTTCGTCAACAACTTCCCAGGCGCATCAAAGACGCAGTCAGACTGTGTAGACTCTATGAGGTTCCATCAGCAACCCTCAGAAGTGAGAGTGTCTGAGAACCTGTATTGACAGCTAAAGCAGCTTGTGCCTCACATGACCCCCTGGTGCTTTGGCTCCATTCGGCAAATGGGTTCCTTTTATCTATGTAGCTTCTTGCTCCTAGTAGCCATGCCAGGAGCCCCTAGTAGCATCCTTGCTCCTAGTTCATTTTATCTATGTAGCTGTTTTTTCTTTTGTCTCTTGTGTTCAGCTAAAAGAAGTAGCTAGTGGCTCAAGTAAGCCACTATCTAGGACGCAGAACTATTCATTTCGTTCCTAGATTTTTTGGAATATACAAAAACATGAAAGCTGGCCCAGACTGCTTCAAGCAGTAAGTCATTCATTAAAGCTCTCACTCCGTTTGAGTTTTTACTTCAACTCCTCGGGCCACAAACAAAAACGTGTACCCCTCTTCTCAACTTAGAGGACATCAACAGCGGAGCAATTCGACGGGTTCAATTATTGGCTCCTAGTTGCTGGCTCTCTCAGAGTCGAAGGAGTCTTTGCTGTCAATGTTTTTTTGGCCCTCGCCTACTCTTTGAAAGAATTTGAGCATTGTTGTGTGGCTGCGGCTTACAAAATCTGAGTGCCTGTAGTCTGACCTGCTCAAGAATTCAGAGTCTTGCTGAAAAAGATCCTGCACCACCTGCAATGGACAGCATATGACAAGTCCCAAAAGAATGGCAAGAGTTGCGGGACCTTCTTGTGTATTCCAAGTGGTGCAAGTCGCGCCTTTCTTCCATTTAACAACACACCACATACACGGTTGGTTCAAAGTACATGGCAATGAGTAGGTGGTTGATTTGGTCTCTGTGTGTACTATCCCACTCGAAGTCGCGGCAGGTTTTCCTCTGAGTCTCCCTTCACAGAAGTCTTGATGCTTCACCTCATCTTGCTGCTCCTGCCCACAAGAAACAAAACGAACTCCCCCCGCTCGCAGGTTAGGGTTCTTGTTGGCCTATGCTGCTTTGCCTGGAAGACGCATGGTCGCTTTCCGCGCCGCAAGTTTGAGGCAATAGCTATTTCATCAGTTGCCTTTTTCACCTGCCAAACTGATGCCATCTGGACCACCAGCAAGTTTGAGGAGTTTTCACCTAGGAACCAAATGAAGAGAAGAAGCGTGAGGCGTGAGCCGTCCTCCGTCCAGTAGGTAGTAGCGTCCAGTCGCCCTGACTTAATTTACTTAGCTAAGTAAAAGCGAGAAAGAATGAAATCACCTGCTGGCCCCTTGGCGTCCAAAAGAGGCTCAACTCATCGCTCAAGACGCCTCCCAGCGTGCCTTCTCGAACTTGAACCTCCATCTGCGTCAACAGCCCAGCTAGGCATGTCAATGTATCCAAGGGTCGAAACCTCGCGTCGCTGCAAGTCTCTCTTCTTAGACTCCTGGCGCAAAAACGTGCCCCGCGTGGCGCAAAGATTGTCAAGTCCAAGTCACTCTGTCAAAGCAAATCTATAACACAACACTGCTCAAGAAAATGGGTCAGGAACTTTCTGGAACACATCCCTACACAAGCCAAAAGCGTCTGTTGGCCTCTAGGAAACATGAAATGATGCCTGCAAAAAATTACGTGCTGAATGTCTTGGCAAACTTGGCGTTGGTGTCATCAGCATCGTTCGGATCCTTGGCAAAGAATTATTACCATTTTGGTGCTTGGCGGTCGCTCAGGTCCTCTTGGTTTGTGAGCCACTCGGCGGGTGGGATGCTGCATCAAGAAATTGTCTGCGCTTGCCAGCCGCAGCCGGCTCACATAAACATCAATGTCGCGGGCCTCTCCGCGAGTGTCCAAGACCGACGAGCAAATGCGAAGGATGTTTGTGCATGGCCATGAAGTTACCCCAATCCAGCTCACGTTGCGAAATCGCAACAAATTGGTCTGCAACCAATCGCTCAGGGAGTAGTTCCAGCAGGAGAGATGGTGGTGAAAACAAAGCACCACAAAGGCATTTTCAGAATCCCGTGCAAATCTATATGCTACATAAACTCACCACCGCATTTTGTCGGTTGTCGTTGGCACATCTCGAGGAATCGTGGTAATGAGCACTGCGTCCAAAATTGGGCCAGTATCAGCAAAGTGCTGGCGAAAACCCACGGGCGGCAACCAATCAGGATCACTCACCTTCAACAAATCTAGGAAATAATCAAGATCCTTGACGTCGCCCAAGTTGAGGGACCCATAGACCGTAAAGTTTGTGACGTTGCCATCTGCAATGCCTGGAAGCACAGGCCTGCGCCCCAACTGATGCGCCAAGACCACCAAACTCCTCAGCTCTCACCCTTGAGCAACTTAACTACTTAGCATGGGTTGAATAGATTACAAAATCAGCCAAACATGTCAAATGGTTTTGCCAGACGAAATGATTGAGAGCCAACTTGAATCAAACTAGGTTGGGCAAAGTGGGGGCGAACGCAACAGGAGTGAGGTCAAATGCGCATTGGGGCCATCACATTGGGCCACAAGTCGCAAGGTGAGAAAAAACAATTACTTATACGGGAAATTCGCAGGCCCCATACAGTCAGTGATAAAAAGATCAGAACAAGCAAACTTTCGCGCTCTGAGACAGAGATGTGAAAGCGCACGCATTGGAGCACACACCTGAGAGCACGCATTTGTGAGCAAACATACGTGATCACGCATAAAGCATCCTTTCTCCAATTAGTGAGTGTCCAACCTGGAGCTGTCCGCAGACTGTTTCTGGGAACAAACTGTCGGCCCCCGTGTGGATCCGACTGCAACTGTAATTGGACCCGCCAATGGGCACAAAGAAAGAGCGCATGTGTGAGCAAACGTGTGACAGCACAGGTATGAGCGAGACACAAAGGAGAGCATCACGAGCAGTGATTGTGGCCTCTCGCCTCCGGGAACCAGAGCATCATTGTGCAGCCATACCAGTTGCTCTAATCCAAAAACCAGTCACAAACAACGTAATCAATAGAAAACCAAAGCACCATTGAGCAGAACGCCTGCTGATGTCGACAACTTTGGCCCGGGTGCATTCCCAACACTGTTAGCTTCTCAGTTTGTCCATAGCCTTTGCAATCGAGTTGCTTGGATCTGCAGTCAACCTTGGCATTGCCTTGGAGCCGGAAGCAAGGAGCCAGCATGCCAACTCCCAGAGCCAGCCCCACTCTGGCATTCGTGGTGAAGGAGCTAAAATGGCCCGACTCCTGGCGTTTGTTGGACAAAAATCACCTGTAGCGATTCTATTTGGAGACTGCAAAGTGGAAGATCCATAGGATAAATTCGGAGAAATGCAAGGTTTAAGACACTGAAATTACTGAAAGCGCCTGAAAAAAGGCTATCCATCCATCATTCTTTGTGGTACCTGTATATCATGTCGAAGAGAAAAGGGGGACCGAGCCTGGAGGACTCAAGTTGGAGCCTCGAGAGCGAGTGTCCGAGCTTGACAGGTGTCAGGATGGGTCTCCTCTGCAACTATAGCCGCTATAGCCATACAACTTCAACATCCAATATCTCGACAATATGCTTAAAGAACATGCACATATGGTCAACTTGTCAGGAAGGTGTCTCATGTCAACCGGAAGCTCGGGAAGCTCCTGAGAGACCAGTGTCGATCTGCATAGAGACACACTGCGCAGGAGCAACCGCTTGCACTGCAAAACGATGCAACACGTGCTGGATGATTGTTGGAGGACGATAGAAACGCTGATCACCGAGCAAGTGAGCTCTTGAACCCCAAAAAGTTAAAAGAGGGGCTTGTTGAGAGAGAGAGAGAGAGTGAGAGAGAGAGAGAAGAGTGATGAATGTGGCTAAATGTGCGAAATGTTCTTTAGCTTCTCTGGCTATATAGTTTGATCCAGTACTCAGCAGACACACAGAAATTGAATAAATCCCAAATTCAGTATATAAAGGGCAAAGTCTTTCTCTACTTTCAGCACAATACATGATGACTCGTGACTTCGTAGGTCAGTGCACGAGCTGTATTGACCAAGTCCTTGAAAATGAGTTGCTCTCTAGCCAAGTAGGTCACGGCAGGAGCGCTTTAATGGTCAGCGTCTCTAGAAGGCCTCTGCAGCACAAATGGCGATGTGCGTCGTCACAGACTGGACTCGGTCTATGTTTGTCTGGCCTCGTCGAAGCCCTTGTGCTCGGAGCACCTGAAATGTCGTGTGCTTGGAGCGAATATCCAGAGGCGGGTCCTAGCAGTTCGTCATGTCTGCATAAACGAAGCTTCCCACCAAAGGCGTAGGGATTCTTCATGCGACAAGTCATTGCACAAGGATGAGAAATGTCGCTTTCTCCCCAACGGTAGTAACAGGTGCCACGCTAGTAGTAACAGGTGCCTTACTAGTAGTAACAAGAAGCTTGTAATTAGAATTAACCCTTTGCCAATGCAGCAGTACCCGAACGGGACAGGCTCCAAGCCTCGCCTCCTTGTGGCTATTGACCAGTGCGACAATGCCTGGAGCCAGCGAGTGGACACTACGAGCAGCGCTCGGTGATGCCAAAATGGGACCTTCGGGATTCTGCGGGGATTGAAAAAAAAAGCATCTAGGAACAAGAACGCTACTAGGGGCTCCTGGCATCGCTACTAGGAGAAGAGCAGAAAACATCAACAAAGAATTGGGCACAGTCTGGCACAGGTTGTTTCAGTCGAAGAACTGCAATTGCTATGTCAATGGTTCTCATCTCATGCTCCAAATGCTATCCCTGCCTGAGACTACAGGACAGAGCCGGTCCTTGGACCAGGGTTGATGCAAATCCATTCAGGTGCAATAAATGTAATTTTGGATTCTGCCATCACCCCCGACGGAACACATCGTTGACGCTAAAGGAAGCCACAACTCTCAAGTAACAACCAATCGGCTTTCTTTAGCAACTTCCAAGGTCAGCCATCTCCTTTGGAGATCGCCTTCTTACAGAATCACCTTTTTGTCTTGCGATTTGTTCTCTCCTCAGTTCATCCCGCCTTGGACGTTGCCACCATGGCGGCTCGCAGACTCTGTATCAGACCAAAAGAATCACCGTGACATGTGACGATGGCACGATGGCGAGTGTCATCCTAACTATGATACTCACTGAATTGGCGAAGGTCATGCAATGGTTTAGAGATGAGACGAGCCAACATGGAGTAAGCATCTATGCACAGGAGTTTATTGTAGCTGGCATATCAGCTGGAGCCATAGTATAGATGTGGAGAAGCTCAGAGGCGCTGCACGGAACACCAATCAAGTCTCACCAGGTCACATGTAGATGTCTTACAACATTGCCTGAGATAGTGCACTGCTTCTTCTATCTTCTTTCTACTTGCTACAATAAGTATGGCCACAGTGAAACTGGGATGCTTTCAACAAGAGATTAGTTTGGGGCAGCGAGGCCTGTTCTTGTAGGTCATAAGTCATAAGTGATCCAATCTGATAAAAGTCAAGGTGGCATCTCCAAGGCCCCTTTGGTTGCCTTTTTCTCTCACCAGTCTCCAGAACTTTTGCCGTTTTACGGAGCTCGGACGTAGATGGCCAAGTCCCCGCGGGAATCGCGGTTCACCCGCAGACCCTCATCTAGGTAGGTACTGACCTCAAGATTCTTGAATTCCGATGGCAAGAGTTTCCAAACAACTTAACCAGCTTAACCACCCTGGACCCAAATGCCCGGTAATTGAAGCTCCGATTGAAGCCATGGGAAGTGAGATCCACACAGTGTTCAGCTGTTCAACAAACCCTCTGATTGGAAGCTCACCAGTAATTAGCATTTGCCGTCCGTAAAATGAAATGTTGTCAATTCAGTTGCTTCAAGCTTCTGAAGCTGTTGACTATAGTGACCCTGGGTGACCAAGTAACCTGTTCAGTTGCGGAGTCAGACTCTGCTTTCCAGCCGAGTTGAGGCCAAGACAAACCAGCCAGCACCTGAAACCCAGGGACTCAGAATACTTGAAGTAAAATAAGTCTAGAAGCATATATATATATACAGAGTAGCAAGAAGCTACTAGTAACAGGGGCATTACTTTACTAGTACTACTACTGTAGACTTGGATGGATCGCCAACTCTGAAGGTCTTGTTTGAGCAAACATCTATCAGCGAGCCTTTTGGTTTATTATGTGCCCAAGAAATCGCTTGGTGTGCCTTCAACCAGAGGGTCTGCTGAAGCAACGCATGTAAGACTCCAGGTTGTCATAATCCCCAGCCCCAGATCTTCGCAAATCTTGCATGATGTCAGTGAAAACTTTGAACGACAGCGACAGCAGCACCAAATGGCGGCAGCGGCAGCGTCACTGGTGGCAGCTGGAGGGCCGCTCCAGTGAAGGTGAAGTCACTGCGGAGCCCATAGGGTGCCTGCCAAATCGGAGTTCGGGTGACTTGGGATGAATGTATGGATTGAAACACGCGGCTCAAACAAATCTGGGTTTCAGGAGTTTGGAGAGTTTTGAAGTTCTCGTGGTTTTGGAGTTTGTAGCTGACTGCGCGCACATCCCTAGGAGAGGCCGCCTCCTGGTTTGAACCTGACTGTGCTTGGCTCTCGATGACCCCTTGGACGTCGAACCGCTTTCCACCACCAAATTCAATGCCTTGCGCAGCCAAGAGTGGTGTCTGAGTGGTACAAATCAACTCACAAACACTGACAAGAAACCGTCTTGAGAGGTCAAGACTCACATCGAATTACATAGTGAATACTCTTTTCTGTATGTATATATAAATGAAGAAAATGCATTTAGAGCTCTAGGTTGGAGGCCATCACTACTAGGGTGGAGGCCATCGCTACTGGGGTGGAGGCCATCGCTACTAGGGTGGAGGCCATCGCTACTAGGTTGGAGGCCATCGCTCTTAGATTGGAG